TTCTTGGAACATTGGTTAACATTTACTTCTTGAAACATTGGTTAACATTTACTTCTTGAAACATTGGTTAACATTGACTTCTTGAAACATTGGTTAACATTTACTTCTTGAATCATTGGTTAACAATTTCTTCTTGAAACATTGGTTAACATTTACTTCTTGAAACATTGGTAACCATTTACTTCTTGAAACATTGGTTAACATTTACTTCTTGAAACATCGGTTAACATTTACTTCTTGAAACATTGGTTAACATTTACTTCTTGAAACATTGGTTAACATTTACTTCTTAAAACATTGGTTAACATTTACTTCTTGAAACATGGTTAACATTTACTTCTTGAAACATTGGTTAACATTTACTTTTTGGAACATTGGTTGTCATTTACTTCTTGAAACATTGGGTAACATTTACTTCTTGAAACATTGGTTAACATTTACTTCTTGAAACATTGGTTAACATTTACTTCTTGAAACATTGGTTAACATTTACTTTTTGGAACATTGGTTGTCATTTACTTCTTGAAACATTGGGTAACATTTACTTCTTGAAACATTGGTTAACATTTACTTCTTGAAACATTGGTTAACATTTACTTCTTGAAACATGGTTAACATTTACTTCTTGAAACATTGGTTAACATTTACTTTTTGGAACATTGGTTGTCATTTACTTCTTGAAACATTGGGTAACATTTACTTCTTGAAACATTGGTTAACATTTACTTCTTGAAACATTGGTTAACATTTACTTCTTGGAACATTGGTTAACATTTACTTCTTGAAACATTGGTTAACATTTACTTCTTGAAACATTGGTTAACATTTACTTCTTGAAACATTGGTTAACATTTACTTCTTGAAACATTGGTTAACATTTACTTCTTGGAACATTGGTCAACATTTATTTCTTGAAACATTTGTTAACATTTACTTCTTAAAACATTGGTTAACATTTACTTCTTGAAACATTGGCTAACATTTACTTCTTGGAACATTGGTTAACATTTACATCTTGGAACATTGGTTAACATTTTCTTCTTGAAACATTGGTTAACATTTACTTCTTGAAACATTGGTTAACATTTACTTCTTGAAACATTGGTTAACATTTACTTCTTGAAACATTGCACAGACGACGTACCGGTTGTGGTGTTTTTCTTGGGTGAATAATAGGACGAATCGGTGTAGTGGTGACCCGGGGTCAACAAACTTGTCCCGACGATGTTTATCTCTTTGGTGTGAGTCACTCTACGCTTCTACTAGAAAGATCCGTGAGCTCTTCTCGGCGTGTTTAAAAATAGACTGAAAGAGCTTTTCCCGTCTCTAAACATATCCGTGTAGGATACCACTAAACATATCAGTGTAGGCTACCACTAAACATATCCGTGTAGGCTACCACTAAACATATCCGTGTAGGCTACCACTAAACATATCCGTGTAGGCTACCACTAAACATATCCGTGTAGGCTACCACTAAACATATCCGTGTAGGCTACCACTAAACATATCCGTGTAGGCTACCACTAAACATATCCGTGTAGGCTACCACTAAACATATCCGTGTAGGCTGCCACTAAACATATCAGTGTAGGATACCACTAAACATATTATCAGTGTAGGCTACCACTAAACATATCAGTGTAGGCTGCCACTAAACATATCAGTGTAGGATACCACTAAACATATTATCAGTGTAGGCTACCACTAAACATATCCGTGTAGGCTGCCACTAAACATATCAGTGTAGGCTGCCACTAAACATATCCGTGTAGGCTGCCACTAAACATATCAGTGTAGGATACCACTAAACATATCAGTGTAGGCTACCACTAAACATATCAGTGTAGGCTGCCACTAAACACATCCGTTTAGGCTGCCACTAAACATATCCGTGTCGACTACCACTAAACGTATCAGTGTAGGCTACCACTAAGCATATCAATGTAGACCACCAGTAAACATATCAGTGTAGGCTACCACTAAACATATCAGTGGAGGCTAGCACTAAACATATCAATATAGGCTACCACTAATCATGTCATTGTAGGCTGCTACTCAAGCGTAGATAAAACTTGAATAAACCCAACATTAGGGGGCGGGCTACACATTTTGAGACTTGTGTATAATAATAATAATATTCTGTCGGTGTATATCTTGATTGGGAAATATACCCCAAAAACAAGGAGAGACACTGTTAACTGTTTGCATCCCCTTCATTGAACTATCCATGTCAGACAGTGTTGAGTTAAAGCCAGTCAATCAGCAGTAGGATGAGCTGTGTTAGATGAAGTTTACCTTCAGTGAAAATGTACCAGAGTTAATGAGCTGGACTTACAGTTGATGATGAACTGAAGTTGACCACAGTTGATAATGAGCTGAAGTTGACAACAGTTGATGATTAGCTGAAGTTGACAACAGTTGATGATGAGCTGAAGTTGACCACAGTTGATGATGAGCTGAAGTTGACCACAGTTGATGATGAGCTGAAGTTGACAACAGTTGATGATGAGCTGAAGTTGACCACAGTTGATGATGAGCTGAAGTTGACCACAGTTGATGATGAGCTGAAGTTGACAACAGTTGATGATGAGCTGAAGTTGACCACAGTTGATGATGAGCTGAAGTTGACAACAGTTGATGATGAGCTGAAGTTGACCACAGTTGATGATGAGCTGAAGTTGACCACAGTTGATGATGAGCTGAAGTTGACAACAGTTGATGATGAGCTGAAGTTGACCACAGTTGATGATGAGCTGAAGTTGACAACAGTTGATGATGAGCTGAAGTTGACCACAGTTGGTGATGAGCTGAAGTTGACCACAGTTTATGATGAGCTGAAGTTCACCACAGTTGATGATGAGCTGAAGTTGGCCACAGTTGGTGATGATAGAAAACTGGGATTGGTTGGTCGTAAATCGACTCCCCAAAATAGCTGCGAAATAACTGGTAGTCACTGGATTACTAGTGGTTACTAGTAGCTTGGCATTGCATCTGGCTCGTGTAATAGGCAAACTCGCCCAACAACTTTTGCCTACTAGAAGCTCGGCACAGCATCTGGCTTGTGTAATGGGCAAACTGCCCCAACAACTTGTGGTTACTAGTAGCTCGGCACTGCATCTGGCCGTGTAATAGGCAAACTCGCCCAACAACTTGGGGTTACTAGTAGCTCGGCACTGCATCTGGCCCGTGTAATAGGCAAACTGGCCCAACAACTTGTGCTTACTAGTAGCTCGGAACTGCATCTGGGCCGTGTAATAGGCAAACTCGCCCAACAACTTGTGGTTACTAGTAGCTCGGAACTGCATCTGGGCCGTGTAATAGGCAAACTCGCCCAACAACTTGTGGTTACTAGTAGCTCGGCACTGCATCTGGCCCGTGTAATAGGCAAACTCGCCCAACAACTTGTGGTTACTTGTAGCTTGGCACTGCACTTAGCCATGTTATGTAACCCGACTTAATGGAGCTAGGTCAAAGCTACTAATTTTCATTTTGCGCACACCCCCACCCCCCTCCCAACCGTGAGCCTGTCAACCCACTGCCAGGATGGCTCGGTGTCGAGGGTATGAGAATCACTGTTGTTATGTGTAGAGCGTCGTTGTCATTGTTTTATAGGGAAAAGATGTTAGTTAGAGATTGTATGTGCAGCCGTATCGTTTGTGTGAGAGTGTTGGAACGTAATTGTGTAATGGGAAGTGACGCGTTGGTTTCGGTTGTGGTTAGAGAAGATAGATGGCGGATGTGCTACATTGACTGTTGTGAATTGAATACTGCTAAGTGTTGTACTGAGAAATTAAGTGTCAAACATAGTTTGGGAATTGCTGTTAATTAAATTAAGAGTTGTGCTGAAAGGATTCGATTGTTGCTTCGACATTAAGTATCAACCTTGGTTTGTGAATTGTGATTAAATAAACTTCTGTTTACAACGAACCGGTTGATGTTTGTTGCATTGGTGACTGTTGCTGTATGATGTACTGCCGAACGGAATGAAGTGAAAGACTGTGGCCATACAGAAGAATCGCTTCGCGACACCCGGGTGCTGTCCCCATACCCGCTCTGCATGTGGCGTTACTGTTTCCGCTCAAAACCTCAAGAAGTGATGTAAAGTTCTTTTTTAAATTGCCCAGTAAAAAAAAAGTCCCTTCCATTTCCTCTCGGATAAACTTAAAAACAGCAGAGAAATTAGAAATCACTTTTTTACCCCCAAAGTCAATATCAGAATTTCTAAAAAAAAAAAACAATTTTGAAGTCATTGTATAAAAATGAGACATTTCTGAACAGTTTGAAGTGAACATTTTTTCAAGGAAATACTTTTCTACCATTATGAGGATTGTATCTTTAGGTTATTTTAGCGAATTTATTTAGTTCTTTAATATTTATAATCGTATTGTCCGTTTAAGTAGATTCAAATAAACCGTTCCGAATATAGTTTATTACTTTCTTCCTTTCAAATCGGTGGGTAGCTTCTGGGTAAACCAGGATAATTTGGGGTAGCAGCTAAAAAATGCTTGCTGAACCCTGGTCTACTCACAATGTGGCCGTGTGCGCCGAACACTGGTCTAGCCACAAGGTGAAAATTCGATAGAATTTGTTGTCATAGGCAACGTGTCAATGTGCCTAGTTTCAGTTCCATAGTTGACGGGAAGTGGATCATTTGGCCATCCGAAGATTTTGCCAGAAATGCACAAACAAAGGCGAGGTTAATTTAAAGGGTTTTAAAAGACAAACTCATACTACTATTTCTCTCAGAGTTTCTGCATCCCGCTATCTCAGATTTCCCTTTCATTCTTGTGTCAAAGTCTGGTAATTTTTTTTACCGTTTGTTAATTTTGCTGTTTGTTACTGTTTCCTATTTGTTAATGTTTGATTTGTTTGCTTATGTTAATGTTTGTTGATGTCATTGTATTTCAAAGTTTACTCTTGCCAGGCAAATAAAACTGTTTTTTAATGACAATGACAGTATACGCACAAATAAAGTATTATAAGACATGAAAAAGTTGTGCTTGTAAAATGTAAAAATTTAATGTACAAATCGCAGTGTTTCATTGTATGGCCTTACTTAACAACATGGCATATACAAAAGTTCCGACATCAACGATATTTTTTTAAATCTAAAAATTGTGACATTTGGGATATAGCTGGATAATATATCAGTTTTAAAGATTTTAAAACATGAAATATATTTACATTTTATACAATGCTGAAGTCCAAAATCAAATAAGTTCCTGTCACATGTTGAAACATGAGAACCACTGTGGTGGTGCAGTCATGAAAGGACACATCAGGGAAAACCAGGACACACGCGGGTAAGCCACACGCGGGTAAGCCGTGACCACACTAAGGCACACCAGGGAAAACACAAGACACACCAGGGGCAAGCCAGGACACATCAGGGGCAAGCCAGGACACATCAGGGGCAAGCCAGGACACAACAGGACAAACCAGGACACACCAGGGGCATGCCAGGACAAAGAAATGTGTCTTCCCCAGTGTTGTTTTTATCAGCTTGCCCACCAAATAAAACGTGTTATGTAATCAACTCTTTGCATGATAACATATACTATGAAAATCACCTTAAAATCTCTGTTGTCATATCATAATTTCCTCTGGTATTTCATGTGAATGGAACACAGTTTGTAAAAGCCTTAGTATTTGTCTACTCCATCACTTTAGATGAGCTGTGCTCCACATAAAATAGATGTGAAGCTCAGTGGATGTCTGAATACGATTACGATCATCAGGTCTAGTACAGAAACATTTTAATAAAATATTAAAATTCCTTGTATAATTAGTTAGATTTTTTAAACAGCTTTCTGCAAAAGTACAAAACAATCGAAAATTTAGGCCCTAAATTTATTTAAAAAATTCAAATGAATATCAAAATTATTAGGCAAAAAAAATAAAAAATAATATAACAAAATATTTTTAAAAGCATGAAAATCACAATAAATTATTAGTATAAGTATTAATAGTAATTGATTATTAACTCTTTGGTATCGTTATCCAAGAACTTTAATGATGATAGTCAATTGAATGACCTTTAGTTTCATGTTTCATGATGGAAAACACTTTAGTTTTTAAAACTTATGCAGGTACCAGGACTAGTTAATTTTCCTCCTCTGATGACAATTTAATAAAATAATAATGAAAAATAAACAATGCAAGATCTGTGTCTTTCTTTCAACCTGGTTTTTGCCCTGCTAAAAGCCATTTTATACCAGGTCACATCGTTAAAAAGCTGCCATATGATTTTAAGCATCATACTAGCCTAGAAAGATATAAGTTTTATTTAGACTAGCAGCTTTAATATTTAGTAAACATTTAATTACTTTTTTGCGGGAAAAAAATAATGGAGATAAGATGATAAAACTATGTACTTATATTATAAAACCATATCCCAGAAATGCACAGAGATGTGAACAAAAATTTAATGAAGAGCGGAAGGGAAATAGGTGCTGGCTCAATGATATCAAATAAATGGAATTCATATAATAGGATACTATAAATGAGACAGGCGGGGGTTTTAACTCAGTTCCGCCCACACACACACCAGCATTGGTGACAAGTTTTTGCTTTTTTATTTTATATTTCTATTAGAAAATTTTTTTCTAGCCTAGTCCTTTCGGACATTGGCAGCATAAGGCTTACCTGTCATGCAGCTAGACTTACTGCCAAGAAGAACTGCATAGCAACACTGCCCCCCGACTACAACCGTAAATTTCATAGTAGAGACAAAGCTTTCAAAAATTTGTGTACAGTTGAAAAGGGAAATTACTGATACAAAATGTGTTAATGGACATCAATTTTTAAAATTTAAAAAATGAACACAATCAAATTGAATATAGTATATAGTCTATATATATATAACATATTTGAAAAAAAAATAAAAAAAAATATATGACTCAACTTGTCAATGTGAAAACAGGCAACTGACTGACTTAGACGGTGTGACATCATGAATTATAGTTTTAAGTACAGTATAAGTTCTATTTTGTTTCCACCAATCAGCTAAAAAACATCTGTGTAAGTAGGAAGGCCAGGCTTTTTAAAAATTTTTTTATAAATCTCATTTAACTCAACGATAACAATTCTTAAGTTTTATCATGATTGCAACAAAGGAGTATTTCCCAATTGAACTCGGTTATCTGAACACATGTTACTGTTAGTTATTAACGGCCAGTCCGTTTACAAAATCCAATCTGTGTCTCCCAAAACGGGTGCTAAGAATTTTGATGTGTAAAGAGCAACAGTTCTCTTGAAAGGCATGCAACGCATAACATAAATATAATACTGAAACTTGTCAGCAGTTCCAGGTCAGCAGTTCAAGGTCACCGTGGTGAACTCATAACGTGACCTTGCCGTCTACAGATTACTTCCCTAAAGCCATAACAAGCTGCTGGAGACGCTCCCAGTTTATTACAGTGCACCCACTCATGGAAATCAGTTTCAGTTGTGCCATTAAGGCACCGAGCGTGGCATTCTGAGGGTCCCTGTTTGACCACTTGGTCAGGAAATTGGTGATCGTTCTGCACACATTCTTCTCGGCATTGTGGAGCTCAATCTCAATATTCTGGGGGGTGTAGCCGAGACGATGGATAACGCTTTCCCAGAATTCCCCGAAGCAGTTGGAGATCAGACATGCAATCCCCGGCGTCATCCTGGTATTTTTTGTCAGCTCTGGAAGGGCATCAAACCAGGCATCTGGAGAACGTTAGAAAATTTAGTGAGATCCATCATCCCGAACAACTGCCCGGGCACAATATATAAATAGGCTACAAAAAAAACTTATTAAAATTAGAATTTTTACTGATTCTTCATATTGAATTAATCTGCTAATTAGAATTTGAATTACTGTATCCTAAAATGAATGCAAGCTTACATGGCTGGTCACTGGTGATGTGATGGGCTGAATTTTGATGATTCAAATGTCTGAAATGAATCAAAAGATTAAAAACTCAACATCTGCTAAAGATTACCTTACATTATTACAGTGTATAACATAATTCACATGTAATGAGAATCCCGAACTTTAAGTTACATTTTTACCAATCATTTCTCGCAAATCTTTCATTGTATGCTGTAATATATGGTACCCAAATTATTTTTAAAAAACCACTATAATTTCCAATTTTCCTCTTATTCTTGTTTCTAGCTTGTTAAATATTTTTCTAATTAAGGGGTGGGTGGGGAGTCTTAAACCGCTCGTTACATTCTATTACAATTTTCTGTGTTTCACAATTTGATTTTGTTTTTCGCTTTTTAATTCTACATTTTTAAAATTTATCTCCGTGGGTTTCGCCCTTGCTCAGTGGTTCTCAACCTTCCTAATGCCATGACCCTTTAACACAGTTCCTCATGTGGCGACCCCCAACCACAAAATAATTTTCGTTGATACTCACAACTGTAGGGTATATGTGTTTTCCGGTGGTCTTAGGCGACCCCGGTGAAAGGGTCTTTTGACCCCAAAAGGGTCGTGACCCACAGGTTGAGAACCGCTGCCCTAGCTCCTCACAAAGCATTAAGCCGGCTTTCCTCCAGGCTGGTGTGGGGTGGGGTGTGATAGGGATGGACACTCATGGCTCTCCTCCACAATCATTTTTTTTTTTCAATAAGGAAAGTCGCTATAAACAAAATGACTCACTTGTCACTCAGTACAATGATCTCCTTTGCCTGAACAAGTCGATCACCAAAGTGCTCCCCTTCAGGAATAAACTGCAAGGTTCCATCCTGATATCTGAGGAGCATGGGACAGTCTTTAACTACATCAAGTGGTCCAAAACTCAACTGTCTTTTCAACTGAATATAAAAAAGAAGATGATTCTGGTATATTAGTTTTTAAATCGTATTTTACCAGCATCAATTTAAATAATTTAAAAATATATACCGGTACTTAATATAACCTTCACAAAATTTCAATTAATTTAGATATGTTACTGCCACTGTAATAAAATACATAACAACAATGTATTCTTCTAAGCATTTGTAATGTTTAATTTTTAATAATATAGGTTTATACTTTTGTGTCAAATAAAATTTGGAAAATGGCATTAGAAATATTAATTAAGCATGCTAATATTTTGCTTCGGTTGGTACTGACTCAGTTTTTGTCCTTTAAATATCTTACTTTTTCCCAAGACACTAATATACATCTACTAGTTGAGGCTTGATCCTACACTCTTAAAGCTCTGGCTAGTATGCTGGCAAACAGCTCCATCTGCTAGGCTGTGCCATATAACATGGTCATAACATAGGACTCTCCTGCCACCCTGGTCTACCCTGGAAAAATTCAGTGCTAGGCAGAAGTCAACAGATGAGCTAGCGTCTCCAGGAAATCAGCGTGCAAGACACTTAAGTTGTTGCCAGGGGTTATGGATATGATGGGGGGTGTTGAGATAAGGACTCACTTGTAAATTTATCTGTTGGTCTGGAACTTAAACAGATTAAAATATTTGTCTTGAAATATTTAGTAGTATCTAGTTATTCGTTTTTACACTCAACTTTCCCATAATGAATTTTTCAAATCTTATTTCCTAGTAGGTAACTTTTAGAGGGAAACTATAATTAACTGCTAATTTTTACTTACTTACTTACTTTTTTTATGCAAGTACAAAAGGAAATACTAATTACTAATAATGATTACAGGGCTTTGGAGCCCGAGCGGCCCGGAGCTAGTGTTTTCACTTGTAGCAGAGCCGGAGCCGAAATATTTGCTGACATATTTGGCTCCAGCTCCATAGAAAATCTTCTATTCCAACTACCAATGTTATTATGTGCTCTTTAAATTTATTTATATTTTGATAATTTAACTCACTTTATTTCTCAGGATGAATCAAGATTTTGCTGATTATTAAAGTTATACCAGAATTATTATACTTAATTAAGTTATTTTCCTTTAAATATAATAAAAAATGTTTTACTATGTTATATGTACATTTATTATGATTTGTTTTATTATTTGAAGCTGCTCCACAGTCGGAGCTGGAGCCGGAGCTTGGAGTCAAAGCCAACTTTTAAACTTCTGCTCTAATGCTCTGAATAATTACTTGAAAGTGTCTAGTGGTAGTTTACTACCTACAGCTTCTAGTTAGGGTCAGGGAGCTATTTGTAGTAAACTACCAATAGCTTCTTGAGAGCTATTGGTAGTCCAGCCAATCAAATCAAACAAAAATCTGAGCTTTAAATACCCGCTTCCAATGAGGCTGGCGAAGTATTGGCCCGTTCATTTATTACTAGTTTGTAGTTTGTACTAGTCACTAATTATAAAATCTACAGTACTGTTTTAAAAGTTTTAACTCTATCTGCTGTAGCCTTCCCCACGCTCAGATTTGGCTATATTGCTGTATAATTTATAATATAGACCTGAAATAGATCTTAGATAAATGTATGATACTGGGGGGAAGGGGATTATAGTCTGAATTTTTTGTACCCAGCTCCTTCTTGGCCAAGGCCAAAGTAAGATGTGCAGTAAAAATAAAATCCAGCTGTAAACATTTGTGTGTGCTAATTGTTTTGATTAAAATTATAAATTAAAATACAGGCCTAAATAATTACCATAAGAAGTTTTACTGCATACAAAGTGTGCATCTTAAAATCAAAATCTTTTTACTTTAGTTAAATGAAAATGTATAATAACGTGATTAGGCTTTTTAAGTATGATAAAATAAGCTTAGGCCAATCATTGTTTAGGAACATGGTCACTTGAACCAACATCCACCCCCCTCTCCCCCCCCCCCTCCCCCCACGCTCTGCTTTTGATTTTCTGTTTTTGGGAGAATTGTCTTCTGAGTGTTATTTACATAAATGAGCCCTCATTAACTTATAAAGACATCGATATTTTAATCTACAAATAAAAAATTTCATTGGGTATAGTGTGCAACTAAAACACAAATTAATCAATTAATGTCTAGGAATCACAATTTACTATTTATTTCTTTATGTCAAGCAGATCATGCAGAATCAATGTTTTAAACTGCACATAATTTTGATGAAAACCTTAGTAGTGATAAATAAATAAAATAAAGTATTTACAAAGAAAGAAAAACGAGTGTATTATGTCTTGAAAATCCGATTGGAGTGAATTTATGAGACTAGATGAAAACAATAAAAAATTTTGGCACATGTTTTTTTGGCAGCATTCATACTTTAGACTGATTTCAGTGTTGTAAACAAAAATAAATTGTGAATACCAATAATTATTGCACTACATCAGTCTATCACCAGTTTGTAGATTTTTTTAATAGTAAACTACCGATAGCTGCTTAGAAGCTACAGTAGTGGAGTACCAATAGCTCTCTAGACGCTACTGGTAGTTTACTACCAATAGCCACAGCCTAATTACTTACTTTGGCCACTGATTCTTTGACAGGGATGACAACATCCTTAGAACTCACAGATTCATAAATAGAAACTGGCAATCTGACACCATCCGGGAGAGGCATTATTTACTGAGTTATAAAATAAATATTGATGACATGTGTTAATATTTTGAAGTAGAGATGACCTTATTTAACATAATTACTTAATTACTGCAGAATTTCAGGAGCAATTCAAAATATTTTCATTGGCCTTCTTTTTCTACTTGTAGTAGCCATGGCCATGGCATGGCAAATAAAATCTGATATGTGTTTTTATTACTATGACTATGATATTAATACGCCTGGCCTACACTTACACTCAAATAAATTAACTTAAAACTTTACTTTAGACTTTAACTTTAGGTTAAAATAGGATATACTATAACTTATACTTATATATAAGTTGATATAACTTAATATAAGTAGTTATACTTATATTAAGTTATATCAACTTATATATAATAAGTCAAGTATAAGTTAGTTTATTATAAGTATAAGGCATAAGTCATAAGGCTTTAACTTTACTTTTATACTTCAGTAAAAATTAATAAAATATAACTTGGCCAAATTTTAATCAACTTCAATTTCAAAGTTAAAATAAGAATAGTAAAATTAGATATAATAATAATACTAACACAATTATTCACAATTACGTGCCAATTTAGACTTAAACTTAAGTCTAAGTGGAGTTAGGCCTGCTCAGTAATAATTTTTATAATAGTAATAGTAATATGAGTATGAGGAAATAAAGCCTAAAGGCTAAAGGCAAGTGTAACCTAAGTAAGACTAATAAGACACTAAAAAGTACAGCCTATTATAAATTATAAGTTATGATAATAACAGTAAGTAGTAAGTCATTATTTATTAGTTTCGACTTAGAACGTGGCCGTTGAAGAATATGCTACTTAAATACTTACTTACCTTATCGTAGATCAGATTCGGATAATATTAGTATTAGATATGATATGACTGACTGATACTGTGATATGCTAGCACTAGCAGCGACCAACTTGCTTCAAATCTATTATTAGCCAAATATCGATTTTTTAAAAAGCCGGTGTATGTAGGCCAATAATTACACTCGCTAAACACATAAGTTACCGGCAAAATGTACTTCCTTTCCTTTACTTTTTGTCAACAACCTGTCTGAGTCAATATTTTGGAATATTTACAGAAACCGAAACCGGATCCAAATTCCATAATATGGTTAAGCTGAAATGCATATGTTGGCCAGGCACAGAAAAGTCTCAAGAATTAGCAAAACAAATTAATGCATAATACAACATTTCAGCTGATTCATTCAATAAATTTGCATGACCATTTCAGTTATTTTAAATCTATTTAGATTTTAAAAAATGGCCATAAATCTTCAACCAGCAGAAGGGGTGGGGTGAGAAGAACGATAGAATTATAGTTGCCTGATATTTTGACCTATAATTTATAAAAATGTGCCAAGTTGTAATTTCGATTTAAAATAGATTATGAAATTCCAACTATGGACCAATTTTTAATTCTAAAAATAGACAATAAATGCTTGAAGGGGCCCTAATCTAATGGATGTCGATAACCTGAACACTGTTCAACCTCATTCACTTAAAACTTACAACACACAAAAACTTCCAAAATTAATTATTATCAGTGATTTTTTTGTGCCGGTACGCACCGGTACGGCGTACCGGCACCTTTTTCAATGTGGGAAAAATTATTATTTTTCTTGTATTTTAACGTTTATTATTAATTTATTATATTATTAATTTGTTAAAATTGAATTATTTTAAAATTGCGCGCAATAAGAATTAAAATATAAAATGCTAAACTGATTTCCGCAAACACGCGTAATGTTACGTCATGTGTTATTAACCTATTTCCATCACTGAGTACCGGCATCTATTTTTTTTACAAAAAAGCACTGATTATAATGATGTTTTGCGACACACCATATTTTTATTAAGCTACTTGCCTCGTCGGCTGATGTTACTATTATTTATACATTTAAAAATATACCCTCCAGCTTGATATGCATCGATTCAAATATTTATACTTTTTCATTAAAAAACAAATACCAGCAATTTAGAATTTGTGGTAAACAGTGCAAAAGATGTAATAAATCCTCAACAATTGATTAAGTAATTTTTTTAAAAATATTAATCATTGACGTCATTGAGTCATTTAGGGTTTAAGGGGGTTAGTTACTTTTAGTTAATATCGATACTGTTACTATCATACACTTTGTTTTCGCTTTGATCTTAGTGGTCTTCAACCTCTATTGTGTCAATACAAGAATCCTCATCTAGTTTTGCGTTTCTGAATTAAAATGCATTTAATTTAAAAATATCATATAATATATTTTATTTTATTTCTAAAGCATTATTGAACAGTGCACCCCCCCCGCCCCCAAACCGCCAGGCTTCATTTGTTTTGTATGTGGTACCATACGTGCCAGATTTTTAATCACCTATAATTTGGTATGCTAAATGAAATTTTCAAACTGTCGGCGCGTAGTCAAAGAAAAGATAAAATATTCGTGGGTTTTGAACTTAATTAGATGCTCCATTTATAATTTAGAGGTCAAACAAAGGTTCCTACACCAGGGTGACCAAATCATGAACTGGAGAAAACGGGACACAGCCATGTAGGGTTTGGGTTGGGGGGATACCCTCCAGCTAAAGACGGGTCCGGGGGCCTCCGCCGGAAACTGTTTATTGAAATTATACTCATTTTAACTATTTGCAGACCTAGAAATCTTTTAAAATTTACCTTCACTTTTGTAATTTAATTGAAACTCTGATGCATATCATAAACGAAAACAACAATTTTGCAGTGAATACTTATTTATTTATATATATTTTACAACTTAATAAGATCTATGGCAGGGCCAATGCATGACCCTCTAGAGTTCTCGTAGGTCGTGACTACTGTCGTTTACGCAGCGTCGGCAGAGTGGTGAAGGGGGAACAGTGTAGCCATCACACGAGCCCACATCCCTACTGGCACTGGCTACACAGCTAGCCAAAATATTACTTGAAGTTATATTGTAAATTAGGAAGTTTAAGGGATTTGAAAATGTTTTTGGTTGTACAAATGGGACAATTAGGCGTCCCGATAGACTTTTTCGGGACACCGGGTACGATCGTGAAAAAAAACGTGACGCTTGGTCACCCTATCCCACACGTGTGAATGGATCTAGGCCATAATTAGTACTCATACGCTTGATTATCCATATTAAAAACGTGACACTGAAGGGTAATGAACTCATAATTTTATTTTTTCATTAAACTAGCCAACATACCCAGCGTCGCTCGCAGTCTTTCTTTCAGGCAACTCTCCGGGTCAAGTCTCTCCCTCCCCCTTTTTTCTGAAGCAAAATGTTTACAACAATAGAACAATAATATTGTTTAAAATTAAAAATGACTAAACTGTCATTTAAACTATTTTTAAAAGCACAGTATCTGGCGCCTTTGACCTCAATTATTATTAGAGGATTATATGAAATATCGCTACGCTCGATATATTTGATCGCCCGTTGATATAAGGCAAATCTTGAAGGGACCTGTAAAAAACACATTATTAATTATTTTTTAAAATTTCTCCTCCAAAATGTTTTTTTATATATAAAATTCAATCCGAAAGGGATCCCAATCCCCGTTAGGATTCTTTTCTCGATAGGATCACGTTCCTGGAAGGATCATGTTCCCTGGTAGGATTATGAAGGCTTTTGGTCACTTTCGACTAAGATCCATCACTACGCGTTGTAGTTTATACCGTAATCTAAGTATTCAACTTCAATGTAAACCTGTTAGACGTTTTAACCGGGTAGACATATTATTATGAAATAGGCGTCTGAGATAATATTAATGATCTGGTCAAAGAATGTTGTCTCCGATAATGTAGCAAGTCAATAACCGTGGGATACGATTGTTTGATTCATTCGTATCATTTGGGCTACATACAAGCTAGTGGTTTGGGAACACTATACATTTGAAGGAGATGAGTTGAGACGATATAGTTGACCTTTGCGACGATTCAGTTGAACAGAGTAGATCATGGCTGGTAGACCTCGCTCCCCTATTTAGATTGTGCCTGCTCACACCATCAGTCTACTCCTAGCCATAATGAAACTTTTAACATCGCTTCATTGCTACCCGCATTTACAGACACATATACGCGTGTATAAGGTGGTTTACTTAAAAAAACAGTCTTCTGAGTAGCAGTTGTGGTCAACCATGTCACATAAATGCACATGTTAGCAGTATGGACGGCAAGAGGTGGTACTGTGCAACATGTAAAACTCGAAATTCGTTAAGCGATAATTAATATTTTTCAGGCAATTACCTAACAATGAAGTATCAAGCCACTAATAATAATGATCTATTGTTGGTCCTATGATAGAACACGAGACAACAGTTGCATCAAATAACACAGTTGTAGATTGTTTCAACTTTATGAGAGAAGAATGTGTGTGCAGTGTGGCTTGAAAATAACCCAGATAGATCAAATTGGAGGCATTGAAAATAATGGACTACCAGAAGTAGTGGAAATTGATGAGTCTAAATATTTCCATCGCCAGAGGCCAGTGGGGAGATGGCCATTTGATGTTTGGCAACATTGCACGCGGCGCGAGTAAACGCTTTCTAATCGAGGCTCCCGCCCCCACAGCTGCTACGATGGAGCCTTTGATTGAAAGATAATATATTCTCCCGGGTACACATATCATGTCTGATGGTTGGGCGGCATGTGCACATATTGACCCCATCGCCAATGACATTTACATGCACGGCGTTGTTGTCCATCAACGAAACTTTGGCGATCCTGCTGATAGCGATGTTCACACCAAAAAACGTGGTGAATATGTGGATGCGAGCGAAGCTCAAAGTTTGCCGTCAGTTTGGAACATCCCGTGGATTGTTAGAGTCACGTCTTCCTGAATTTGTGTTCCGTAACAAGTTTCACGACCAAGATATGTTTGTGACATTTTGAAGATCAGCGCAGATTGCTATCCAGTTTGAATCACCTTTAAATGACATGACATATTTCTGATATAATAACCGTTGTTTTATTTCAATTCTCCAATATTTCTGATATAATAACTGTTGTTTAATTTATATTCTACAATATTTCTGATGTAATAATATTAACTGTTGTTTTGTTTACGTTCTCCGAAAACATTATTATAGTTCTGATATTATTACTGTTGTTTTATCTTCGATAAACATCAATGAACATTTTAATTTTAATATAATTTAATATAAGTCTAATTTCTTGTTTTGTTTTTGTGAATATGCATTTCAGTTTCAAAATTGCAATCTGGCATGTAAGGTGAAAAAAAAAACTGAAGAAAATGGAGAGATTGTTTACACAATGGCCTATAATCCAATGGGAGCTGTAAAAATCAAGTAAAAATTAAAGTTACTGCTGTACAATTTAGTTTTTGTTAGCTAATACTGCACATACTAAATTTATTAAAGAATACACATAAACTTACACGCGAAAACTGAATTCGGTTTTGGTGATTCACACATTACTAATTCTAGTTTACCTACGCCTACGCTTACGGCACGGGCCTTTCACTTTCAGAAAGAAATACAAATTTGAATCAATAAGCAAGCAGATGGATTTAAAAAAAATAAAATAAATTGTCAACAAATGAGGGTGTTACAATAATTTATTGGCCAAAAATAATATAATTCAAATGATGGATAATAAATAATAAGATAATCATAATTAAGGCACAATCACAAAGCAATTACCCAGAAATGCCTCAGAATGACTGAGAATGCCTGTCACTTTCACTTTCATTTCACAAACCCAGTAGCCTACACAATTCACATGTCAGATGGAAATCTGGTTTAAGTTAAGGCTGCGGCTATTTGGACCCGGGTCCGAGAAGTGAGAGTTTGGGTTTATTAAAAAATTATTGTAGGGTTTGTAAGACAAGGGGCAGTCCATAAAGTACATCATGCTATTTATGACCATTTTTACCCCCCCCCCCCCCATCACAAATCTCAAACACCCCTACCCTAAAGTACATCACATTTTCGATCAAATTTAAAAAAAAAATTACCACCTAATTGTCATTGAAAATTAATCTAAAACACACTTCACTATTAAACTGTATTAAAATATAAAATTTCCAGTTAATTTCCACGATGACATTACTAAAATGACTTTAATAGTAGAATAGTTAATTTTCAACAGTTG